AATTTTCAAGCACCTGGATGTGAACCCTTAAAGATAGACCAATGTTTAATCTTTTAAGATTTGTCCTTAGCTCCTAGAGTTAAGTAGGCACATAGGACATGTTTTTGTTAAGTTGAATTTGGAGTGCAATTGCTGAGTCTGATTTTTTTTTTTGGTTATACCATCCTGATACCCATAAATTAGATCAGTAAACTCTAAGTGCCTATCTAAGCCCAGAATGTAAACCAATATATTCTATTCCCTCACCAAAAAAGTGTGGCTGTGGAAAAAAAAATTAGCTGAACTAAACAGGATGCTTAGTGACTTAGGTAACTTATATTCTGGCACAAGTTCCTTATCTAGACTCAAGAACAGTTTGTAGACACATAGGTAGTATTGAATTAGATGATATTCTTATTATTATAAATCACAGCAAAGTTAAATACCAAGGTTGAATTTCTTGCACAAAACCAGATCTAACTGAAACCATTGCTTTTGACAGTTCTACATGCTGGATTTAAGGTCTACAGACAGAGTATTACAGTGGGAAAGAATTGATTGCCAAGGAATTCCTCCGTCATCAAAGGATAAACTTGGTGTCTGGGTATATAAAAACAGGTGAGTTAGCAGCAGCACTAAGGTTTGGGGTTTTATGTGGAAAGTGGTTTGCCTTCAAGTATCTTTAGCCAATAACCTTTGTAATTGTAGAATGTATGAGGATTAAGTGAATTAATACATCAAAGCACTTAGCATAGCCCTGAGACATATAGCCGTTATTATGAGTATTTTCATATACTCAACTGTGCCTTTGCAACTCATGTAACAAAGAAGAAAAATCTCTTATATACTAACTTGCGTATCTGAATTTTTAGTGTCTTATGTTTTTGTTTTAATATAATAGGTTAATATTTTTTGGAGGGTATGGATATTTACCTGAAGATAAAGTATTGGGAACTTTTGAATTTGATGAAACATCTTTTTGGGTAAGTGAAGTTTCATATTTGCATGTAGCCTGCTTAGTATGTTGAAATAATACATTTTGTTTGGTAGTAGTTTTGTTCATTTTGTTAATAATTAATAAATCAGACCAAGGCTATATAATTTTGCAAACACTCTTTGTAAAGTAATTGTAAAATAACTCAGATTCTTACTATTTTCTGTAGAATTCAAGTCACCCAAGAGGATGGAATGATCATGTACATATTTTAGACACTGAAACATTTATCTGGAGTCAGCCTATAACTACTGTGAGTTACTAAAGACTAATGGATTATTAAAGCATGACTATTAGAGAAAGGAAGTTGGGAGGTGGTGGTAAGATTGATAGTTCATTCTTCTTGTTTTCTGGAGAAGGGCCATAGCTTTCATAATTCTCCAAGCACTCTAGAACTCAGAAAAGTTTAATGAATGTGTAGATCATCCCAGCATCTATTATCTAATAGATATTGAGTGCTACTGTTTGTAATTAAATAAATGACCTAGCACTATATTGGAACTTAAGTTACTCAAATATCAGTTTCTTTCTCCTCTGATTACAGATGTTATATAATGTGCTAGCTTTCAGATAAAAATAAAACAAGCATTCTGTTTTAGTAATACACCTCAAAAATGTAAAATTAAAAGTCCCAGTTTTACTAGGGTGCTTTAGTACTGCTATTGACTAGAAGTCTACACTTCAGCTTGAAAGCTCAAGTGTCTGCATATTCTTATGTGGAAAGTGGTTTGTCATTCAAGTATCCTCAGCCCAAACCGTTGTAACCGTAGAACATATGAGGAGTAAATGAATTAATACATCAAAGCACTTAACATAGCACCATTATTATATGAGTATCTTCATATACTGAAGACTCTGGTATTTATAAAACATTCCCTTACTTAATAAATTGCTTATTAACTTTAATAGGGTAAAGCACCTTCACCTCGCGCTGCCCATGCCTGTGCAACAGTTGGAAACAAGGGCTTTGTGTTTGGAGGCAGATATCGGGTGAGTATATAAACAGTTTCAATGACTTGCTTTGAATTATTCAAAATGGTAACTATTTAATTATCCTTTTTTAGGATGCTAGAATGAATGATCTTCACTATCTTAATCTGGATACATGGGAGTGGAATGAATTGTAGGTATTACGTTAGATAATTATTTAGAAAAGTTTTTCAAAAAATTTCAATGGCTTTTTTCCCTTTTCTCTATTATTAGTATAAAATGTACTTGCTTAAATTTTCTCTATTTCCAGTTCCCATTAACTATGTGCCTGGCATATAGTATGTGCTCAATGTTTGTTGAAAAGAAAAGGTCTAAAGTTGACCGTCAAAGAAAATAGTTCATTCTAAAGTATGTAGTTAATACCAAAAAGCATTTTTAAATTTAAAGTCTCTTTTTTCTTTAATTCCATATAAATTTTAAAAGAAAACTTCAATATTTCTTTACTTTTAGAAGTCAGTATTATAACTTAGCTATTATTTTCAGAATTCCACAAGGCATGTGCCCAGTTGGCCGATCTTGGCACTCACTGACACCAGTTTCTTCAGATCATCTCTTTCTCTTTGGAGGATTTACCACTGATAAACAGCCACTAAGTAAGTCGTTTGAAAATATGAGCCCTGCCCTAGCCAGTTTGGCTCAGTGGACAGAGCCTGTGGACTGAAGGGTCCCAGGTTCGATTCTGGTCAAGGGCACATGCCCGGGTTTCTGGAGGCCCAGTAGGGGGCGTGCAGGAGGCAGCCAATCAGTGATTCTCATCATTACTATTTCTCTCTCTCCCTTCCTCTCTGAAATCAATAAAAATATATTTTTTAAAAAAAATGAGCCCAGCTGGTGTGTCTCAGTGGTTGAGTGTCAACCCATGAATCAGGTCATGGTTTGATTCCCAGTCAGGTCACATGTCCGGGTTGTGGGCCCAATCCCCAGTAGAGGGCATGCAGGAGAAATTGATGTTTCTATCTCTCTCTCCCTCTCCCTTCCTCTCTCTGAAATCAATTTAAAACCACCTCTCAACTTTTCTTTTTAAAAAAAGTGATAAATTATCATTCATCATATATACTTAGTTGGAAAAAATTAGTCTATTTGGATGTATTAGGGCTACAGGGTCAGTTGGAAGGTTGCTATTAATTTTGACCCTATAATATAACCCTGTTAATTGTTTTCTGTAAAGAAATGTCCTGGAATACTTAAAGGCCCTGCTGAAGGACTCTAGTATGCAAGGGCTTACTTGGTTTATTGCAGAGGATAAAAGGAAATATACTTTCTCTTATCTATCACAATCTGATTGATAACCTTTCTTGCTAAAGCTATGTCCTTTAAATATCAATATCACATTGGTAGAATAACATACTTCATAGTTGTTGTTTTTTTGTTTCAATCAGGTGATGCCTGGACTTACTGCATCAGTAAAAATGAATGGCTACAGTTTAATCATCCCTACACTGACAAACCAAGGTATGAACTATTTAAAAAGGTAATTCTCTTGCAGGCTCAGTCCCCAGTGTGGGGCATACAGGAGGCAGCCAATCGACGATTCTCTCTCATCAATGATGTTTCTTTCTTTCTTCCGCTCCTTTCCTCTCTGAAATCAATAAAGATATATTTTTTTAAAAAGGTAATTCTTATACTAAATTAATGAGGTCCATAAAGGTGTACAAGACAGAATGATAAATACCCTAGCATTCACTAAGGTTTAACATCAAGCATTTTGAAAGAAAAAAAACAACAACAAACCCATCCTAGTATCAGATGCTTTCTTTTCCATCATCTCTGAAAGATAGGACTGGAGTTTGATTTTCACTTTTTCCTTTATCATAAAATTACTGATATAGTTAACATTTATAATCAAGTTCTTTACCTAAGTGAACTGAACTGCATCTAGGCTACTATTAAAAAAAGAAAAAGAAAAGGAACTGGAAAGGAGAGAATTTCAAAACCTTAATTAAATGTATATAGGAAAAAATCAAGAACTTTCCGTTAGATTTTCAATGGCACTGCATAACAAAGAGTAAGAAGTCAAGCCATCGAAAAAGAAGAGCCCATTAAACACCCAGTTATTTTTGTTGTTATCCTCAAAAAGAACTGTTACAAAGACTGGAAAGGAAATGATAGTCAAACTAGGTGTTCAAAGCACATTAAGATATGTCATCCTGCATTTTTCCTAAGCCTCTAACCTCAGTATAGTCAGGCCACTAAGACTCCGTTTGGCACAAATATTCTTTCCATAGAATCATCAGGCCTTCAGAGGCTTTGTTTCCTCAGGCAGATTCAGCATACCTCAGATGTTTTGTGTAAGGCCAACTGGCCCTGTCTATGAAAAGCAGAAGAGGCCATATACCACACAGATCTGTATTGCTAACAAAGATCTAGAGAACAGTGTCAGTTCAAACCCCTCACTGCATAGGAGGTCTGGACCAAAGAGGAAATGCTGACATCCAAATAAAACATTGATTTTTCTAGCTTTGGCTACTTTTCTTTCAGGTAATTGCTTCTCACTCCATGATGTTTTGGTCTGAACTAAAGATCACTAGTCTTTATGTCATCAGTCTCTCTAGTATAAATGATCAATTTGGTGTTTTGGGTGACTGCAAACTCAAGCTTTTGTTTTGAATGTAGATTATGGCATACAGCTTGTGCCAGTGACGAAGGAGAAGTAATTGTTTTTGGTGGGTGTGCCAATAACCTTCTTGTCCATCACAGAGCGGTAAGTATACTATCTTATGTTAAAGGAGACTTCATAATATTGCTGAAACTTATTTGTGAAATATTTGCTTTTTAATGTGTTCTTCTTATCTATTTTTCAGGCACACAGTAATGAAGTACTCATATTTTCAGTTCAACCAAAATCTCTTGTAAGGTAAGTAGCTTTTTATTTGGAACTTTAGAGTATTTAAAATAGTGCTCTTGAAAAACTAGGTTTATGGATAATTTAAAAGGGTACTAACAAGTTTTTATGGATCCAACTAACCAGTTCCTATGAAAATCTTTAAAGAAAATGGTTTCTTTCTTTTTAATAGCTTATCAAGTGAGGGTACTTCTAAACAGCAAAGTGAAATTATTTTTCTCTTCCCTTATTCTTTCAGGCTAAGCTTAGAAGCAGTCATTTGCTTTAAAGAAATGTTAGCCAACTCGTGGAACTGCCTTCCAAAACACTTACTTCACAGTGTTCATCAGAGGTTTGGTAGTAATAACACTTCTGGGTCTTAGGTTTCATAGATCATGCCTCTGATCACCTTGCATGGACAGCAATTCTGTGAACATCAAAGAGTGGCATCATTTGTATAGTTACATGCATTGTGTAGCTTTGCAGCTTTTTGGTTTTAATGTGCATGTGAATGGCCTAGAGAACCTATTTTTGTGTCCAAAGTTTACAATAAATGTATTTAACACCAGTAAAATTGTCTTCTGTTAAAACAAAGGAAAATTAATACTTGGGCTTTACCCCAAGGAATGGTTGTTATATTTCCTTTTTGATAACTTCAAGATATCTATCGGTAGAAACATACTTATTCTTACCACCTAAAGTGGTGAAGTTATTTTTCCCCCTCTTATTAAGAGTATATTGGGTTGACACTGGTTAACATTATACAGGTTTCAGGTACACAATTCCACAACACATCATCTATACACTTATACTACCCCCCAAGTTGAAGTTATTATTTTCAAAAATTTAGATGTTTTTTAATGGCAAGAATAGTCTATTTTGTTGTACTTACAATATGAGGCTACATAGTTATAAAGTTTTTTTAAACATCAATTTCAAATGGAAAAATACTCTCAATAGGACTGAAAACTGGTAAATAAATTCTGGAAGGACAAACAGCTGTTTAGTACTTTGACCTTAAATGCTTTGGTATAGGGTCTTTGGGGAATTGGTCATGTTGAATCTAAGTAGCTGTTATTTGATCATTTAAAAAGTAGCAGTTTTGTAGCTCATAAAAGAATGGAAATAAGGTATGACCTTATTCCCCATTCTGCTAGGAGACAGAAGAAAACTGGGTCTGGAGTCTTTTCTGACTCTAACCCTAAAAGTGCACTTCTGACATTATAGGTTAAGGTACTCAGTAACATGCCACTGATACTAGAGGTGGAAAATAAAATGGTACAGAACTGAATGAGATTACAAGAAAGAAGGTGAAAAGTGAGGGTGTATAAATGCATGGAAATGTTCAACACCAATTTCTTCAAAGTGTTATTCCTTAAGCTTAGTCATGGGAATTATTTATATTTTAAATCTGGTCTAATATACATTTTGACAAGTATAAGGCAGAAGGAAACTTACTCCTTCAATACTTAGGGTTTTCAAGACTCAATTCTAAATGTTTAACTGCCCCCAACCACCACCACCAGAAAAAAAACAAAACCCAACAACTTGTGATTGGCCTGTGAGTGATAGATATATTAGACATTATATACAGTAGACTACCAAGTCAATAGTCTAAGTAACTGAGCCATTTCACTATTCAATTTCTTGACAGCATGAATACTTATTAACCTCACAAATTTCGAGAAAATTTAGAATAACTACAGATGCATACAATTAGCATTTAACTGTCCACAAATATTTTGGAAATCCTATCATAGACAGTGTCTCCTCTCTATAAAAGTGGAATAAAACAAGAGTAAGTCCTTTTGGCAGATATAGCAAGGCAATGTTTAGTTCATTTTTAAAAGCCGAAGTCTTGTTACACAGTTTTTTCATCTTTGAACTTCCAAAAGACTATAAAAGTGGCTCTTCTTAATATATTTTAGGATTTCATTTCAGCTATTTCCTCTTTATATTCAGAAGATTGGGTGCAGACACTTTCACTTTGCCAGGAATGTTTCTTGATAAATCCGTGTCCTAAAAAAAGAGAATTGCTGAATATTTTCACATTCTATATGGTCAATCATATTTCTTTTTATGACAGTTTATGTATCCTGTGCTATCAAAAGAAAGGCACTTCTAAAATTTTTGTGTGAAGTGATTCTACTTATTTGATACTGCTTCTAGGAAGCATTTTCTACCAAGTAGCTGCAACATGCATCTACTAAATAAATCAAGAACAAAAAAACAGCAAGTAACCGCTGACATTTTCAGAATGTTCTGCAATCTTCAGAAAGTTCAGGAGGAATACCTTACCTTTACGCTGCGGAATAAGTCTTTTTCTCTTGCTGTTGCTTCTTTGGAATGCATGAAACTATGCAAGGCTGTTTTTGCAGCTGTAAACAGAAATTAGAAGAATCTAGTTCTGTTTAGTCAAGAAATGTTTAAAATGACAATTCAAAAAAGTTTTTAAATACCTTTTCCCTTTTTCTGAATTCCAGGAGTAAGTTTCACTTTGTATCTTTAAAGAGGAATTGTATATGTTAGTAAACAGATTACAAACAACTCATAAATCACTGTTGTGACAGCTGCTTTAGTTAAATGGTGATGACTTACTTATAGTTTGTCATGGTGGTATAAGGGGCACACATTGGAATGGCAAACAGTAGTACATCTTCAGCATGTGGCTGTCCCGTCAAAGAGTCAAACAGATTTTCCTAAAAAGGGAAAACAAACAATTATTAAAGTAATTCACATCACTTCTAAAAAAAACAACAAACTCTAAAACCTGTCAAAATAGTATCTCAATGTATTTTTATCCTTTTCTGATTGATAGTCGTAAGCTCTGCTTTATAGCTCTGAAGAGCTTAAGACCAATGGTGTTTAAATATATATTCTTGATTACTTATCATTTTTCCTAGCATAATGAGAAATGAGAAAATGATTTTCAAAATGGCACTCATAATCCATTTAAGAGAAAGGGAGAAAAAAACTTGCTGGGTGTTACTTGAGTTGTGGGAAACTACTATGGATTAAAATGAAACATGACAATGACCACAAATAGATTTAGATCCATTGCATGGAAATGGGACTGATACTTTGGCTAGACCAGTGGTTCTCAACCAGGGGGTTTTGCCCCCAGAACACACTGGGCAATGTTTGGAGACATTTTTGGTGGTCACAAATGGGGGAGAGGAGTGTGTGGGTGGGTGAGGGGGCGGGGGGCAGGGAGATAGAGCGCTACTGACATCTAGTGGGTAAAGACCAAGGATGGGACAGCTACCCACAACAAAGAATTATCCATCCCCAAATATTCATAGTGCTGAAGTGGAAAATTTCAGAGCTAGAATAGCCTTCTCTCTTACCTTAAGGAGAACTCCTAGGGCTTAGAGTTTCCCATTTGGTGGCTGCCTATAAGATTGCCCATATTTTTTAACATGAGTAAATTTAGAGACAAAATGCTTGGTACTACGTGCCATGAGCTCTTCTAAATCTTTTACGTATGTTACCTTAGTTCTCAAAACAGCTCTCTCCTATTAGGGACAGTTATCATCCCCATTCTTCAGATGACGGAACAGGCACAAAAAATGATGTTTCCAAGGTTGCAATTATATGTAGCAAAGTTGGGATTCAAACCCAGAGTGTCTGACTAGAGCCTTGTCTTAGCCTTTTCAGTTTTAATTAGTTGTGTCAAACGTTCTGGGAGCTGAAGTGCAGTCAAAGTGTTGTGGTAGGGACCCCGACAAAAGCATACCTCGTTTCCCTGTTGATCCAGATCTTGCTCTTCCTGCTCCAAATATAAAATTTTAAAAGTCAGCTATAACTGAAATCAAAATTCCACACTATTAAAAACTATGAGGAGAAAGAAATAGTGATTTAACAAGACCGCCACATCAAATTTTTGTGTTCTTCCATGTCCCAATACTCTGACTGAATTAATTTGTGTCTAATGATTCAAAAAGCAATGCCATTCAAAGAGAAAAAGGATTGTTCTCTGAGGTTTGAAAAAAGGACTTTCCCATACAGCAGCGATTTTCAACCTTTTCCATCCCATGGCACACATAAAGTAATTACTAAGATTCTGCAGCACATCAAAAAATATATATATTGCCGATCTGACCAAAAAATAAATATAATTTTGATTTATTCACACTGGACAGCTATTGTGTTTGCTGTTGTCTTTTTTTTTTTTTTTTTTAATCTAAGGGAAAAGAGGTCAGTGCTCCTGACTAAATAGTCAGGTATTACATGTTTTAAAAATTCTTGAGGCACACCAGTTGAAAATCGCTGCCACAGAGTATATACTGAAGCTGTGAATGTTATAAGGACAATTTAAATGACAAACAGCCCTGGCCCATGTGGCTCAGTTGGACATTATCCTGTGAACCAAAGGGTTGCTGGTTCAATTCCTGGTCAGGGCACATACCCAAGTTTCAGACTCAACCCTAGTATGGGGCGTGCAGGAGGCAGCCAATCGATGTTCCTCTCTCACAATGATGTCTCTCTCTCCCTCTCCCTTCCTCTATCTCTAAAAATCAATAAAACATTTTGTAAACAAAAAAATAAAAATGACAAATAACTAAGCTTGATGCATTTGCCAAGGAAAAAGAAAACAGAATTTTGATAAACAGAACTTTTATACTTTAGTCTCTGTTCAACAGTTTTAGGATAAATTTTCACACAGTAAGATAAGCTTAATTTTTGCTCACATTAAAAACCTATCTGGACATAATATGTCCATGAAAGAACATTCAAAATTAACACCTTTAATGAATACTTGTAAGTCTAAGGTTTACAGAATAAATTATAAGTATGAGAACTAAAAATTTGAGGACTGAAATGAATTTTAATATTAGTAAACAACAGGGGAAAATAGCAACACATTTAGAATCGACATGAACATTACCTGCACTCATGGAACACAAAGTTAAAACCAAAGTTTCAACTGCCATAAATGAAAATACAGGCTGAATAAAATTTTTTACAAATTTAAGTCCTTTGCTCAGAATTTCAAGAAGATGTATGTATTCATGTAAGAAGACTTACTTAGGGCTAGCCTTGTACTCATTTGATAGAATAACCAGGCAACCATCTTAACTGGAAAAAATGTTAACTTCTCATGGTTTTGAAATCAGGGCACTTGGCACTTTTGATTGTGTAGCCATTCACAACATTACGTAAGATAACATAGCATTTATTCCTGTAGAAAAACCTCGAGAAGTGCAAACTTATTTTCGACTCATCTTAACAACAGTCCCAATTATTTGTCTTATTTTAACTGAGTTCCCACCAGAATCAAATAAAGCCTGTTTCAGAAAACTGATTATTTTAAAAGACTTGTGATAAACTTTATCAACTATGAACACCACCATTTTTATGTTTATGTACTGGAATCTTAGTCTTAAAGGTTTATTTCTAGGGTGACTTTCCATCAAGGATAGGGTTATTACTTGCCCTGGTTTTAGCACTGTTAAGTCTCATGTCCTGAGAACCCTAGAATGATTGGTCACCCTAAGAAGTAAAAGCCCACATGTGTATGGTAACCTTACCTTGTCATCATGTGGATCATCTACAGCCAAGTCTTGT